GGTAAACCACCTTCCTGTTCAGAACAGAAAGAAAATAACTAACTGCTAGTGTCAACCACATACACAACATGGAAAATCCATGAAAGCCCTTGAAATATCAAGCAACCGCTCACGTCCACGCTATAGGACCAGCAGCAGCCTCACAGCCAAGCAACTTGGGTTTTCCTCCCAATTTCTCAGTACCATGAAACATTTTCTACTTTCCAAATATTTCTCCACTATGGCAGGAAACTGTTTTATTGTCTGTCAGAGAAAGAAAAGACAAACCCCATAAAAGACCCCAGACAGCTGCCAGTATTTCATGGAGCTGCTTTGGAAGAAGGGGGAGATGCAGAAACATTTCATACAATGATTACATTAAAACTCCAAGTAACGGTGCTTCATAATCAAGACACAGAGTAGCGAAGGTGCCGTGGGGTAACGAATGGGGTGACTTCATATAAATAGCAAGGTATTGATCAAACTCTGTGCACAGTACAAAGATTTTCTTTAAAACCTTTCAGAATCTTCTGCGCAGGGAATCACATTACACGGACTGTTTTCATGCAAAAAATATGCATGTCATTTATCAATCACACAATGAATCAATCAGACACTAGATATGTAATGGTATCTCCCTGCATTAAAGCTGTAAGTGAAATGCCACGAACTTCTCAAAAGCGGTGTCAGGAGATAAGACTGGGTTGTATCAACTCAGATCAAGTGCTGCACTCAAGCTCCAACCAAAAGCTGGGATTAATATCGCGCTGCCCGTAGCTCCCTGGTGGAGTTTATTCAGAGAAAATGGGCGATCAAAATGAGCAGAAGTTTTTTAGCAGCTGCCTGGTTTCCTGCTGGCGCTGCCTGCGTGGGCAGTGGTGCCACGGTCTCCTCACCCTGCAGATCTCCTGAGCTTTGGTTTGGTGGGGTTTTGTCCAGGCTCAGTGCTGTGACACAGGAGGGCAGCAGCAGGCTCAGGAAATGCCAAAAGGAAGGGCTGTACGCTCTTTCCCACTAAGAAGCTGTGCTGGCAGAAGGAGATACCTTTCATGTGAAATAAAAGCAGGGTTCATTCTGCCCTCCCACCAGCGAGGCTCCCCCAGGGTCAGGGGGTGCTGCAGTGATGTCAAGCAAGACGTCATGGGAAAGAAGTAAGGGGTTTGGCATGTTGGGGCTTGGGGAGGGGGCAGCTTTCTTCCTGCCCTGCACACTTTCTTGTCCTTGACCCCAGGCTCAACACCATCCTCCCCGACATCGAGCCCCATGGCTTATAAATTTCAAGCTCAACACCATCAATTGGGCTTTCAAATCTCAGGCACCCAAACGGGTCTGGCATCAAGCAAATGGGACAGGCCAACTCTGAGTTACTCCAGGGTCACCTGGAACAGGAGAGATGAGGAACCTGGTTCCATCTCCCTTCACCTCCCTTCCTGCAGAAATGTCTCCTACAGCCACGTGGACAACTTAGAGCAGTGTTAAGAAAAGCACAGGACACATGAAGAGTTTGTTCTGTCACGCAGTTCAGCCATGTCTCAGAGTCTCTCTCCTCCTCAAGGGCTATATAAGCACTGGTCCCTAATGAGTCATTTTTCATTACATTTACTCCATGTTTATTCTTGCTTCTCACTTTCTGATCCAACTCTCAACGTTAAAAAAATCAGAGGGTTACTTTTATTACCTCATTTGGATGCTGATCTTACAAGTTGGATGAACCAATTCATCCTTGTAATAAGGAAGATGAGACCATTTCTCTTTATGTCCCCATTTTTAGGGAGACAGCTACAAAAGGCTGCAGAAGAAGGAACCACAGTCTTGTAGCCCCTTCTGCCACGACTGAGTTTAAGTTTCCTTAACTTGCCCTGCACAGCCACTAGAGGACAAACACGCATTTTACATATCCTCAGACATAACCAAGGAAGGCTCTTGGCTCCTTGTCCCCACTGCAGAGGTGTGAGGAAGAGATTATTTTTCACTTGTCCCTAACCTACTCTATTAAAGCAAAACTTCTCACCCAACACCAATCTGCCCAGGTCCACGTGCCTCCGAGGTAGCCTTCCACCTTCCACACATTTGCTCTCACCCGTGGACCTTGCAATATTTACAACAAGTCTGCACAGGCTCCATGTGCTTCAAAGCCCTTATAGCTGGTGCCAATGGGCTGACCTGCTTGAAGCTGGCTGGCTACACCAACCTCCTGATCTCCCCCATTGCTGTTCCCTGACCTCACCTTGGTCATGCTGGGCTGAAATTCCAAAGAGCAAAAGCAGCAAAGCTCCTCAACTTCAGCCATCTCCAGAAGGAGCAGGACTGTGGCAGAAAAATCCATCTCTGCTCATAGGGAGGATGAACTTCCACATCTACCTTTGCAGAACAAGCCAGCAAAAATCAGGGGGGATCGGTCTCCTACACTGCTAAGGAATATTTGTGCCCATCCCTTGAGGAAGGAAGACTCTTGTCTTCCTCCAAACAGCTTCAGGCTGTATTGTGAAATGAGATGTCAGAAGAAGACAGTTTGGAAAGCTGAGAGACAACTTCACATCTAGATCATCCAGCAAAATAGGGATCTTTCTCCAAAATGCAGAGCAGGAATACAGAGAATCCTACAGAAACTCAAGCACCTTTTTAATGCTGCTGGCTATTATTGAATAACAACAACTGAGGTCATTCCATTGCTACACAGATCAAACTGAACTTAAATTAACCTTAAAAAAAGGGTGAATCAGCATATTTGTCTTGTGAACAACACAAGCATTTGTGTAATGTTGCTTCACTCTCCATTTAATTGCTACAGTCAATTTTTGCACAGCACCCACAGCTTTTCAAACAAAGTGGAAGCCAAAAGATTGATAATGACATTGCTGGGCTGTGCTGCAGGAGCCACCCTTGCAGAGACATGGTCTTTAGTACTTCACAATAGAAAGAAATAAATCATTTCCCTCCATAAAAGTAAACTCTTTGATGACCTTTGCCCCCAACTTGGGTCTCTGTGGGAGCATAGAAAAGTCAGAAGGAAACCCATTACAGCAACAACACAGTCTAAGGCAGCACCAAAATCCTTCAAGTGTCATCTCTGGGGGTCTTGGCATTGAATTTTGGAGGCATCCACCTCCTTGCTCCTCATGTTGGAAACTCAGCAAGACTACAAAGTCTTCAGCCTTCAACACTGGGGTTTTTGATGACTCAGTGCTCCCTCCTGAATGAAGAGGAGGTTGCAACCAGATGGCTGCCAACATAGGAAGCATTTCCTGAGGACAGCACCTCAGGTTTGCAAGTGAGGAGACAAATGCCAGTCGCTGCACAACAAGCATCCTAGGTTAGAGTAGGAGACAACGTGCCTGCCTTCAGTAGAGACAGCACTTCCCAAATACAATGGGCAGCTGGCAGTTGGTGCCAACACCAGAAAGCAGATTGCTGTCAGGTGATGGGAATATCACCCGATTTAAACCAATTTCGTATCTGTAAGAGAAACCCACTGACCGAGGTGCAGTTTCGCTCTTGGGCTACGAGTTATTGAGGGGATTTGGGTAGGTAGGACCTCCTTTCTCCTCCTTGAAGTCCAGCCAGACCCCAGCTGAGGTTACCTCTCAGGCTTTGTTACCTGACACAAGTGCTGAGCAGCACAAGGCAGCAGAGCACGAGCGCTCTGAGGTCAGGTTATCGTTTTCCAGTGAGCCAAATATAGAAAGTCCTGGAAAGCGAAGGAAGGTACAGCTGGCCACAAGCTGATTTACGTCTCTCTGAGGCTGGTCCCATGTCTTACTTGGATTCGGGACTGCACACACAGAGGTCACCAGCCCCTTTCTCCTCTCCAAACGCCTCCAGCTCCTCACTGCCAAAGAACACCCAACCTGCCAGGTCCTGCTGCTTGGAAAAATGATCCAGCTCGCCTTTGTCCTTTGCACTACAACAGTTGTTTTCACTTGAATAATTCTGTTCCCCAGAATTTCATTCCCCCACCCCTTCATTTTCCTGTAGTGAAATACAACTGTGAAGGCTTTGAGGAAGTTCCAGACAACATTGCTCACTCCATTTCAGCGCAGACAATTCCCAAATTACCATAATATCATGCACTAGCCTCAAAAACATCACACATCCACCACCCCCCTCCACAAAGGTTTCTCCCCAAATTCTTTTATGTCATTGATAACCATCAGTTAATGAAAAATAACAGCAGCAAGATGTCTTAAAGGGACCAAAGCACTATATCTAACAGCCAGGACTGGGTTGTCACAGGAGGGACCACAGATCAAAGAGGACCGACTGCTTCAGCTGCTTCGTTGCTAGACTGGAACAATTTATTGAAATCTAAGTAGGTAGAAATTAAAACAATTTGCAGGAAAAAAAAAAACCACAGCATGAAGGCCTCCTCTTAACATTTGTCTCCACTGAACCATGGATGAAATCCTCCCATCTTTCAGAAAAGGGATAAAAAAGCAGGACCGGATAGCACTTGAAGAGCAGGCTAATAAACAACTGCTCTTAGAAGACTCTACATACCATTACCCCTCTGCTTTGCACTCTGCATTGGTAAGGTTTCTACAAGGCATTTTTAGTGAGAGAGATGAGAATCAGACTCCAATTCTTTCCTGAGCCAGGGGAATCACTGCTTTCCATCCCCACGTTATCAACCAGCTGAAGGCAGGAGATTTTTCACACAGCTCCGTCTGCCCTCTTTTTAAGAGCAAAACCTGAGCCAATGTGTTCCAGTCGAGAGCAACGAGCATTTATTATTTATATTATTTATTAGCAGCTGCACATTTGTGACAGCAGGGAAGAAGGGAGACAGAGATGCAGCTCTATGGCAGAGTGGAGAGGATGTGCAGGAGGCAGGAGGAGCCAGGCTGGAGGTGAGCGATGCCCAGGTGCAGAGCAGCACTGCCCTCATTCCCTGGGGCAGGACCTCCAGCACAGCGTGGTGGATGGAAGGACAGACACCTGACCTCTCCAGGGCTGCCAACTCAACATCTTTTTCAGCAGCAACTCTTGGAAATTTTCACCAAAGAACAAAGGCAGGTCCTTACCTTGGCCTCAAGCGTGTTCAGCCTCTCGGTCATATCCGCTAGTCTCGTGCAGTTCATGCATTCTAGAAAGAAACAAATAAAAAAAGAGATATAAAATTTCTACATACTTTACATTTTAATCCACAGCTCTCAGTCTGCAGACCCTGGTCCCTTTTTGATCCAATGCACACAGAAAAGTGACTCAAGATCAGTTACAGGGGAAATAATATTAAAATCCATTGCGCAGGGAAACAGCCAGAGCCACGTTACATGGAACCTTGTTTGGGGATGTTTATGGGAGCAGAGTGTGAAACCAAGTTCCCAACAGGTAGAAGGAAAGGATAGGTAGAAGACAGGTGAAGAAAAAATTAGCTGTAACACTTTTCATGGTGCCAACCAGCACGACTTCTTGTCCCCAGCAGAGACACTCGCTCTGCCACTGGTGCAAGCTGGTGGGGCACGTGCTGTCACCTCCCTGGACATCAGGCTGCACAACCACTACTTCCAGCTCTCTCCTCTACTATGTCCCAGTCAAATAACGAGAAAATCAATGAATATACAAAATGCCCAGCTCTGAGGAGTCCTGCTCCATCCCTGAACTCCCAGACCCTGTTACCACTCCCAGAACAAATAATCTGTCTCAATGACAGCCAGAAAATCCAAGACAGACCCCAGGGCTGATGCAGACCGGAGCAGCAGCACGAAGTGGTTTCCATCTCACTTTGTTGCATAGAAGCAACAGACAGACAGCAACCACCAAAGGGCTCCTGACAGGATGCCTTAGCAAGAACAAACGTTAACATAATGGCCTCTGAGTGCAGTTTAAAATCATTGCTTGATACAAAGGACATCACTTATCTAAACAGAAGGCCTGCTGCTTTGCCTCTGTTTTCATTTCAGCAATGTTAAAGTGAGTGAAGGAGGATAAAGCCCTGAACAGAGATTTAATCAACACGGCACTTTCCCAGCGCTTTGCAGCCGAGTTGAACTGCCCATTCCCAGCTCTCAGAGAAGGTTTCCAGACTGGACCACTCACCTTTCGTGACTTCTGAAGAACAGCAGTTTTTAAAAGGGAAAATGACTTGCAACATGAAGTATTTCAGAGAATAAACCGTCCGTATTCAGGTGATGAATCACTGCCATCCCATGTCCCACAGAGGAGAAATACAGCTCTGTGTGTGTTTCTGGGCTCTTTAAAAGCCAGAGCCAGCTTTCATTGAGTGGCTACAGAAGAAGTATTTAGTCCTGATATTTCCACAGGGCTGGGGCTGAAATTCTTGAGCCCATTAATAGACTATTGAGGTGCAGCTCAGGCTGTGGTTGTGCTGATGCAACGGTTGTTGAGTAAACCCAGTGCCTACCTATGGCAAGGAATGGGAGAACTTGGGTTTTAGCCTGACTAAACATAACCCTGACGTGTGGGACTCAGTTGAACCCCCTAACAAGCTTTGTCCCCTTTTGCACAAGGAGCCCCGAGGAATCTCTCCAATCTTCATGCACAAACACTTTCCAGTTTTATGAAGCACATGGTATGTAGTGATGGCTCTCAGCCATGCAAAGATTTTAGCGCATGGCTCGGAGGGCCGGGAAGCTTGGCTGTTCCACCTTAGTGATTTACAGTCTAAGAAGATTGCTTGAGTGCTAATGGCAACCAATCACCCATTGCATAAACCTTCCAAAGAAATTCTCTCACTGACCCTCCACAAGGAGCTCTGTAGCTTCCTAAAGGAGCTGGACATAGAGCTTCCACCTCATGATACTCAACAATTTGCAAACAAAGCATCTGATGGTTCAGCAACACTTAGATTGAGGGATTTCCTCACAGGTCAATACTGACGTGGACTTTCTTTTACCCAACAGGAAATAACATTTCTTTATTTTTATTCTCTGCAATAGATCTTGGGTGATACTTTTGGCTTGAAGTGGCCCATGAATACACAAGTGCCATAAGTGCATTGTCCCACAGGGAAGGAAATGGGTGAGGCTTGTTTGGTCTGGATCTGCCTGTGGTGTGTAAAACAGGGAATTACGTTCTGCATGTAACCAGCTTCATGCTTTTGATCTCGCTCATCCCCACAGAAAGATAAGACTGAATAAATCCAGTGCTCCCAAGAGCCAGAAGGCGTACCAGATGTGTTACAGAGCAAATAAAATATGGAGTCCTATTCTCTCTTCTGCTGGCTTGCACATATTAGTAACCCCCATAGGTTTCAGAAAGACTGACTTGAACTGTCTGAAAACCATCTCTGTGCATAATTTGAGATGGATTGATCATTTAAGCTCTCTTTGGAGAGCTCTGCTGATAAAAAAGGGCTTGTACCTCCACTCTGCACAGGGGAGAAGCAACCAGCTCCCAGAGGGAAGGATACTCCAATTGCCTCTGCTGGGCAGAGTGTATGAACAGCACCAGTCCAGCAGCCCCCTCTGATCTTGAAGAGGGTCTCAAAGAGCCCTCTCAGGTGTGTCTGCAGCACAAAAGGGTAGATTTAAATGAACAAAATGACAGAAGTGGGGAGGAAGCAGCAGTACCACAGCATGGTGAGGTCTGTACTAGTATCATCTCCCTGTCAGCGACGCCTGCTGAGACACACAGAAAACACAGCCCAGGTCAGCAAGAGAACTACTCGAGTCCAAGTTGGATTTGAGCTCTGATCCTTCCCTTTGTGAAATAACTGAAAACCCAGATCCAAACCCAAGGTTCTTAGCCTGGACCCAAGAGACATTTAACTAATCCAGAAAGCGCATATCCTAATGCAAAAGATCTTCTTACTAAGGCAAGTTGTCCCACCAACAAATCCTCATGACCTTTGCCTAGCTAACCAACAGATGGATGATGTTTTCCAACAAAAAGCGAGACTAATGCTCGGTACCGCAGTTACAGACACCACCTTCCAAGCTTGCTGCCAACACACTGGGGACCAGGCTGCATCGAGGTCATTATCTGGCCTTGCAGAAAGCCTGAGGATGATGGTGACAAATCAAGCTAATAAATATCTTCCCTGACTTCTAATCTTGATGCCCGGTGGTTCCAAGGCCTGGGACAGTAAAGTTGAGTTATCTGGTCAGGGTGAAAGCACCCTGCTTTATTAAAACGAGCTTGAGAATCTCACATCATTATTTCACATGCAACAAATGTAACACTGGGGCAAATACACACACTCTCTGACCTGGAACTCCAGAGCAGACGCTTTCCATATCTGCAGAAATCCATCACTTGTTGCTACACAGAACCACAGTTTATTTCCCTCATATTCCTATTTGACAGATTTGTATTTTTCCAGCTAAACTCCGAGAAAGGAGTTGTGATTTCACTCTATGAAGCCCAACCTCAAAACACATGGTAGGATTTGTTTTAGAAATACTCCAGCAGGGAGAATAAATAATTGAGATAATGAACATGGGACTGTCCCAGCGTATCGCATGACACCCAGTCTGTCTCCATCATGTCTCTCTGTTACTGTCCTAGCACACCTCTCCCTTCTCACCCTCCCATTCCCCCTCTGCGGCTGCATGGGCAAAGCAGTGCAACTGGAGGGAAGGAAAAGTCTAACGTATCAGAGATGTGGTGGACTGGAAAATAACAGGTCACATACCCTGTGCCAGCAGTGACCCACCGATCCAAAGGTTGCTACATTCGACCAAACATCAATTAAAGGCTGAGATGGAGCCTCCAGCGCTGCAGCTTCACAAATGGGCACGAGGTTGTGAAGCCTCTGGCTCTCACTCCAGCTGCCCTCCTACAAAAAGGGACTTACAGAGCGACTCTGGGTGCCTCAGATTCCTGCTTCACAGGGTTCAAGCAGCGTTTGCATAATTTCATGATTAAATAGTTGTACGATTCAGTTGCTCAAGACTGAAAGCCCCACAAGTCTTCAAACTGCTTACTCCAAACAAGGAAGGCGCGATAACGGCTTTATACCGATGGGGCTCTAACGATTTCAGCACAATTATCACAGTGGCACTGGGGGGGGGAGTTAAAAAACACCAGGCCAACTTTCACCACGGGGTCGCAGGTCAGAGTTTTGTGCAAAACGGCAAAGAAACCTCTTGGCATCTCTGCCCCATTTCTCAGCTCTGACAGCCCACGCTCGTTTGTGTACCCAGAGTCTCTGCAGAATATTAAAAGGGCTTTTGGTTTCCCCGCAGCCAGATGCTCTGTAGATATAAATTGCACAGCTCAACCGAAGTCAAGGGATCAAGGCTCTGTCTCTCTTTTTCTTGATGGATTACTCCAAAATTCATATTTCAGAGGGGAGGCGGAGGAGGTGGTTTATAGCATATGAAAGGGGAGAGAATTCTGGAATCACAAAGCCTTTGTTTAAACAAATACAATCTTTGCAGCCAGTTTTTTCAAGACTGTATTTTGCCATTACAAGAAACTTCAACCTTGCAATGCAATGGGGCGTAGCACACAGTCGAGTTTCGGGACATAAGAATCGCATTTGCAGCTCATGCTTCAACCTGCTCAGGACTCTAAACAATACACGTTCCTCCTCTGAGCCCTGCTTTCCTTTCATCCATTTTTAGTGTAATGTTTCTTCTATAAAGGACCTGAGGTCAGAGGATGAAAAATTACCAAATGTGACATACGCACAGAGAAATAAATGAGTATATTCGATTTCTGTGATAAAACCTGCCTGGCAGCTCTTCTCTTTCCATCTAATAAACTCCACCACTTCCATTGCACTTTTCAGAAACGGACATGCACAAAGAAGACAAACTCAGTTATCCCCAGGGTGGGGGGAGCAAACCAGAGCTGTGTCAAGGTCAATGCCACCAGCCCAGGGTTACAGGACGGGGAACCCAACAGCTTTAGCTCTGCACCAGCGGCTGCGTGATCTGAACTCCTCGGAGCAGGTCTCCAGGCACCACACTCTTACAGTTTGGGGCACACTGTCTTACAAAGCATCAACACACAACTCAAATAGGTCCAGTTTGAAGAAAATGTTGTCTTTTAAAAGAAGGAGGAGACCAGCTTTCCTCAGTTAGTGATACTTTTCTCCAGGACAAGTTGAGAGCAGTCTCTGAACAAATCTGGAGGAGCACAAAGTCAGCTAAATCAGTCCAGGCAACCACGTTTCTT